CATAGTGATGGGACAGGGTTGGGACGTTGATCGATAAATTTGTTGGATGTTCTGAATTATTGATATTAATTTTATTTTCGATTTGTTGGTTATTGATAAATAAATATATTACTGAATGTTTACTTGATATTTATGAAAAAAAAACATGTTTTTATATTTCTACATTTTAGTTTTTAAATATATATTTCACTATTTTTTAAAGTGGATAAGCTTCGTCTCACAGAATTCTTAGGATCTGTCTTCCGGGATAAATAAAGTAATCTTATGTCTATGTATTTTTCTATGATACTTACACTTAGCTAAATCAATGACATGATTACAACTTTCGTGACAGAATTGGTGATATTTTATTTCAAGGAAAATATCCTTATTTTTTTTTTTTAAGACAACTCCCGCATTAGGAATATATCCTGTCGCGGGGGACTTTACAAACATACATGAAACGGACACAAAGAACACCCAGACTCAGAACAACAATTTGTGGATCACACAAAGTGTCGTCCCATGTGGGGTTTGAACCCACAACACTCGGCTTAGTAGGAAGCGGCGTGGCGACCGCTTAAACCACTACGCCATCCGTGCAGTCATTCCTAATTAATAAAACTGCTTAATGTTTGTGTTACAAAACGGAATTTGTCTTTGTAATATATTTTCGATCCTTTATTTGAATCAACTGAGCTTCGAATTACTTGTTCAGATCGTCTGCAAATTTTAATGACCACAGTGGACGGGAAAAGCAGTCCTCCTGCATCTCTTGCATAAATCAAACAGATTTTTTTCTTATGCAGGGATATTAATGCTGTAACGCACGTATTGCCTTTAATCTTATTTATTAAATAATGTACAACAGCGCCAGCGTGATATTCTATGACGCTTTCTGAAAACTGAGATAACGGTATATGCTGTAAGTAATCAATAAATCATTCATCAACACGTTCCTCAGTCTCGCGAGTTTCACCCCTTTCAGTCGTCATATTTATGCATTGTATAGCTGAAGAACAGTTTAATATGGCAATATATTCTAAAGCTATACTATTACCAGTATTAAGTTCTTGCAACTCTATTTATACAAGCATTTTTCTATAATGCCATAAAACTGTTTTGGTATTACAGAAAAACAGTTCAATGTGGTCTTGGCTGATACGGTGAAACGATATATAAGGATATCGTTGGTTCTTTATTAAATCAATAAAAAAATTGCACTTTGAACACATATACAACGTCCTAAAAATCCAGTAAATGGTGGCGTATCAATTAATCGCGTCTGCTTATTTTTTAAATTAGTTGTCAAATTCATTATGACACTTTTGCACGATTCGAGTTTTGATAAGACAGCTTGAGAGCTTTTAGCATTTAATGCCCTTTTCAGTCCATATCCATGCACTTTTGAATCTAAAATGTCAAATAAGTTGTTAAATAGTAATAACAATATTAGCTTTTCCATCTATTTCTTGAAACTGGAAAGTATTTTTGCAAAATTGGAGCGCTATTGATACATGACATTCCATATAGCAGAATAATACGCCACTATTTTTTTGACAAATTAAAATGACTTCAGTAAACAAAGTTCAAACGATGACCAAACAAATATCGACTTATAAATCCCAACACTATCGATACACGTGTTGTAATTAGACAAAGACAACTATTGTAGATTACGTAATGAGTAAAAGGGACATTTCAAAATGACATCAACGGGTGCTTAATTGTTATTACTTTGCACCATTATATTACCAGTATAAGTTGACCTCCGGTGCATTTGAAATAGGTTGGCGTGGTAAGAATAGAATTTACTTACCGATGAAATGTTATGCCATCTTTTCCATAACTGGATGTCTTAGCTGACTTGTTACACCATTTCACAGCACATTAAGCCATTTTTAATGTATTTGGGACAGTAAGCTATTTTTTAATTGTCAAAAACTCGGACGTTCCTACGCGCGTACAGGTCACAAATTTGGTCGTCACTGAAGTCATCACTTCAATTTAATAGCTATAATAAGTATGTGTTGAGCGTCTTTGTGGCCCTGTATGCGGCATCTATTAGGGGATAATCTGTGGGATCCGATGATGAGATTCGGAGACAAACAACGGACCTCTTCAAAAAATGACAGCAAATCACCTACGATTCCGGGTTTTAGGGCTCTTTGTTAGTATCGTTTGAAGTAGGTTCAACTTTTTTTAAGAATAATGTTTAAATTAAGTGCCATTATATAAAGTGACAATATATCCGGTTATTACCGGATAGGTAGATTCGATGAACCGATCATTAGATTTGCGTTATTATCTTTATTTTTATCAATTTATGTTTCGACTTTATTTATTTATTTATTTAATTCTTCATGCAGAAAATATAACAATTACACAGTAGCGGACTTAATGCCACGGGCATTTTCTCCCATTGTAATAAAAAAGCATCATCGACTGCAATGCACCTTAATATTCGAATAACCGATTTAGAAAATTATTTTGGATCAGTTCTGATTGTTTTCTTTTGTTTTTTTTTTAAAGCTATAATTTATTTGTTCTTTTTTTTAGTCATTAATGATGATTATTATCTTATTAAGAAGGAAAAAAATTACAAGTAATTTTATCACATATGATTCAGCACACGCATTACTACCTGGGAAAAGACGCTAGGTACCGTACTTTTAAGTATGGAAAAAGCCGTTAATCCTGAAGGTCCTGATCAGGATAATGAGACAAACTATTAAAATTATTGCATTGTCATCAGTATTTAATAAGTGTGCAAAGTTTTAATTTAATACGACGTTTTAGAGTGGGTCAACATCACGTTCGAATATTCCGTTACGTACATACATACTAGTGATGTGCCGGATATCTGTATCCGTATCCGTATCCGCGGATATCCAAGGGAGGAGAGAGATCCGTAACCGTATCCGTATCCGTGACTTTTTTGGCGGATCTTTCAATACATATTACATAGATGAAATTCTATATAGGTGATTATGTATTCACTGTAAAACTCTTAGGTATGTGTTTGTAACACTATAAACAGCAACTTTTTTTCTGGCCAACGTCAAATTAAAAAGAAGTTGGCACTCCATTCAAATGACCAATCAAATGTTGTTAGTTTGTATGGAGAAACAATTTTTTTTCTTTCGTTTTCGGTGTTAGTCCAGACGAAAAGTTGTTGTTTATAATGTTACTAATATACACTTCAGTGGTTTTTAGTAAATTTAAATTTAACCCTGAATAATGGTTATTAGGTAGCTATGAAAAACTATTGAATTCTGTTCAGATTACTTATTATTTCTTAAAACAAATATTTGGCACCTTTGTATTGCAATCATTTATCGTACTACACTAAATCAACTAAGCAGGTCATAGGTACTGAAAGAGCTATATTTATAATGAGATCAATCAAACATCTTTGTATTAGCTTATTAAAATAATGAAATATTTAAATATCAACGGCAAAGCGTCATGTGGCGAAAACTATCAAGGTCACGGGCTCCGATTGAGTAAGAAACTTAAGATCCGTATCCGTATCCGTATCCGCGGATCATGACACCAAATATCTGTATTCGGATCCGTATCCGCGGATATACTTTGTTAACGATCCGGCACATCACTAATACATACATACTAAGCTAATAAAAGCGTGTTAAAAAAACATATAGCAGAATTAAAAACCCCTCCTTCTTTTAAAATCATTTAAAAACTAAAGGTTCGTATGTTAAATGTCAATAGTAATTAATTATAATAGATGGGATCAGGTCACTGGGTCCGCTATGTTCCGACCCAACATCATTGTAAATTAATGTGGTCTTGGATTCTATAACAGCCGACATCACATTTGTACTAATTAAATTACGTTACGAGCTGCCTGATGACTAGAGGTATAGTTAGGTCAAGTATTTACATGGGTTTGCAGGTCTTAATAACGTCTTAAGGAGGTCTTATAATCGTTCTTCGGGCTGTTGCCCAATCCCTCTAATTTAATGCGCGGGAGTGGCACAACGTGTGGTTTTAGTCGGTTCGATTCCGACACACCGCACCACCGCAAACCCCAGTGCGGTGGTACCCGAAGAGGGTTTCCACACGTAAAAATAAGTACTTATTTATAATTACTAGAGATCCTGGCAATAAAACTCCGACCATTTAAGTTCTTTCTTTTAATTGACCAGTACAACTTGAAAACAAAAAAGAAAAAAACATTTAATAATATTTAAAAAATGAATGTGAGTTCGTTTCAGATGAATAATAATAATAATAAAAATTCTTTATTTAAAACCAAAAACACAGATTACAATAGAATGAGATAGATGGTACCTATTTCCTCTTCCGTTCAAAAGAAAGACTAGTCACCTGGATGATAAATGGATGTCCAGTACCAACGATTGATGAATCGTTGGGCAGCAGTCCAACAAACACAAGACAGCAAGGATGGCGCAGTGTGCTAAGCGGTCACCTTGCCGCTTCCCACTGCGCTGAGTGTTGTGGGTTTGATCCCACATGGGACAACACTTTGAGTAATCCACGAACCTAATTATATCATTCCAATAGCCAATTTTTTGAATAATTTTTTGGCTCATTGTTGTAAGATGGCTGTTTATAATAAAAGAATTGGTTTTACAGTATTGAGTTTTTTTTTTACTTTGATTTACTAAAGTATAATGATTAGAATTTTTCATGTATAAGGTGGTGGGGGAAATAATACGTGATGAAATAAGAAAAAAAAAATCGAGACAAGGGCGAAAAAACCGTTCCGTAAACACTTGTAGGTACATATTATAAATAGTTCTACCGTGGGAGAGCCATGCTTCGGCACGAATGGACCAGATCGACCGTAGTGATACCACAGCCACACATAAAACCGGTGCTAAGCAATTCTTTCGTTGCCTTGCACTGAGTGAGTGAGTTTACCGGAGCCCAAATCCCCCCTCAGCAACGCACTTGTGACTTTTAGAGTTGTAGGTGTCCATAGGCGAAAGTTGCTTACCATCAGGTGACCCATCTGCCCCTTATACCTTATTTTATTTTTCGAAATTCATTTTCCCACAAACCACTACGCCCTCCATGCTGTCTTGTGTGTTTGTTGGACCGCTGCCCAACAATTGATGGTACTGGACATCCAGTTATCATTCAGGTGACTTGTATATACTTTGTATAGACTGCCCCCATTTTATAAAAAGCATTTTATTTTAAAGGGAAGAGGAAATAGGTGCCATCTATATATATTGTGTGATGAGCATGGTCATTTGTTCTGTGTCTGGGTGTAATTAATCTATAATTTGTATGTATTTAATGATATATAAGTATGTTTCACCAGTCTGGTTACCATAGTACAGGCTCTGCCTAGTTTGGAATCAGACGGTCGTGTGTGAGATGTGTGAAGTCATTATTATTATTGTTTACTCTCCCAAAGCAATTAAGAATATTACAAATCCAATGATAAATGAGGGAGGTCTGAGATAACAAATATAATGAAGAAACTATTAGACCTCTTCCTTTTTTTGCTTAAAAAAACAACAATCAACCATAAACTATAAACCATAAACTACAAATTAATTGAGACATTACTAATTGTTGATTTCAGACTTACCTGAGGCACTTGAGTAGACTTGCCGCACCCAGTTTCGCCAATCAGGACTAAAGTCTGGTACTTCTCCAACAAGTAAAGTATATGATTCCTATACTGGAATACGGGTAACTTCTGCCGTTGGGCATCCATCGGTAAATGATGATAACGATTGTAAACAAAAGATGTCTTAGAATCATTATCGGTGGTTAATGCTGTGTCTATGTTTGGGTTTACAAGTGTCTCGATTACACCGTCTTTGTTTCTTGTTGGGTACAGAGTTTCATCTCCTGTAAAATGTATTTTTAAATGTACTTTGCACTAAATGCAACTATTTTGACTTAAAACTTTAATAATGGCAAAGTGGAAACAAGTACTAAAATGCTGGTGCTATGTTTTTATATTCAAATCACATTACATCAACAGCCTTTAATAGTCCACTGCTGGACATAGGCCTCTCCTTAGAAAGGAGGTTTTGGCCTACTATATCACGCTTGCATAGGGTTGGTATAAGGTTTGTATCAAGTGTTCCTCCTTTTTGCAGTGGTGCTGTCCTGCGTTGTTTTGCACCCTTAGTCGGCTCTTACGACACCCACAAGATGAATATGGGTAGTGACATTCCGTATTCTCAATCCGTCACTACACGGACTTATATTCAGTAGGTTAAAAAAAACAATGCATTATAACCTGAATATTTTTCTTTTTTTTTTTTTCTAAAGAATGGCGGTGTTGACATTAGAATCCATAGTCAATAACGTAACTTACTCTGTATTTGACGATGATTGATCAGACAAATATTAAAATAGTTAAGTATATAACTTTCTTATAAGAGTAAGCCGTACTTATAAATGAAAAAAGAAATAGAGGGACATTTACGAGGTAAACAATTGTTATAAAGCTGATATAATTATTCAATCTTTTACTCATAAAAACACCGTATGTATCAATGAAAATAGCTTAAAATCGGCTAAAATCAGCTATAATGTAAATATAACCTTAAATTCTCTTAATCAATATTTACCTGGTTTTAAGAATCTCGGTCGCTGTCCCAACATTTTTTATATTTATTTAACGTATATACACAATAACTTGAATTCTCTTTAACTTTATACACAGTTTACGTTTAATGTATTGTTTACAAAATAGATACTTTAATCAACTGACGGTACTGACACTATTGACACTTAGTAGTTTTTATTTTTGAATATTTATATTCATGACCATAGATACAAGTCTTTCAGTCGAAAACATAGATGGGGCACTTAGTAGTACTGTGCTTGTGCAAGTTACAGTGAATTAAGATTTTATTTTCAGTACTATTTTTTTGTCATGGTAATAATTTAAACCTAAACAGGAAATTGGTTGAAGCTTTTTCTTTGTTAATTCTCTTGCACATATAGGCGACTCATTATGATTTTGTTGTAAACTGCTGCTTTCAGACACAATGGGCACATTCATAAATCAACAATATTATTGTAAAATTGAAATACAAACTAGTCTTAAGTGTACAAAATTTATAAACTTTTTTTTGTTGACGGGGTGGAAAATCTCTTACGATCCCTGCTCCTTGAAGACTCAGGAGCCATGAGTATGTGGTGATTGCATTGGAAACCACCACGAGCAGGCTTTGGGCGGACTCTGGGGGGACCTGTAATTTCAGGTCCTCCCCAAATTGACAAAACGCGTAATCAGGCCCGAATAATCCAATGTAATTAGTCTTTTTTTTGTCAATGTTGTATACTAGCTTCAGCATTGTAAGTACCCCACCACACACCTTCGTAATTTTAAAAAATAAAGTCGCTTTTAATTCCCGTATGGTAAGATCTTTCTGACTACGCAATGGATTTAAATTAAAAGCCACACACCTGCCTGCACATACCTGCACATATTAACAACCCAGAAATATCAGCGCAACATTATTTAAATGTACCAGGTGAGGGAGTACTTACTATTAGTGAACTCACTTATTATGAATTTAGAGAATTTAATAGTTCAAAATTTTGCCTGAGCCCTGCAACTTGAAATCAAGTATTGAAAATTTAAAGCTGTATAAAACCTAAAGCTAAGAAAAATGACGGAATAAGTATTAATATGATCCTATTGACGCCACCTGAAACTCAAACTCAAACTTTCTTTATTTCATAAAATTCCCAAAATTGATTGAAATCGTCTTCTTTCTAGATGTAGTTACCGCTATTGTGAACTTATCCACTGAGACTGCTACCTACCCTGACTAACTAGGTAACCAGTTAGGTGGGTCAAACACAATCTTCCATAAGATTGTGTTTGACCCACCGAACTGGATAGTTTGTCCTAGGTAAATGTAGTCGTCAACAACTTCGATCGTAGTCTTCAATTCTCACTGGAGTGGGTGCGACATGGGCGTTCGACATAATTTTCGTCTTATCCATATTCATTTTAGACCCACTCGCTTGGAGACTCTATGAAGATCAGAAAACCCCAATGATTTTTGAATACACTATTTGTAACACCGTCCCTTACACCCTGTTTTAAATTATTGAGTAGCTGAGCTGCAACGTAATTTAAATGCCCCTAATAATAGATATAAGATAGGTAGGGGTAGGATATTCCAATATTTGCAAGCGGCTATTTTGATGCAACCCTTGGTTTTCACATTATGAGTGCATGGCTAGGATTAGTCATTAGTTACGTGACCTTGTCTCATGCCCATGTAAGTCCGACGACCATATGAGTTTGTTATAAAGATACACACAGTAAACCCACAATAATCAACTGCGGTGTTCCACAAGGATCTATCATTGGCCCACTCCTTTTCCTTGTTTATATAAATAGCATTCATGAAATAGGACTCAAGGGACATATCTCTCTCTACGCTGATGACACGTGTCTCTTTTACTTTGGTCATCATATAGAATCTGTTTTACAAGAGGCGCAGGATGATCTAAAAATATTGGAAAAGTGGTTTTTGAGGAATTTATTGACTGTCAATGCCTCAAAGACCAATTACATAATATTCTTAGCAAAGAACAAAAAAATTCATGATCACCGACCTCTAACTATCAATGGAACTGTGTTGGCCAGGGTAAATAGGGAAAAGTATCTCGGGCTTACACTAGACAGTCAACTACAATGGAAACCACACATTGAACACTTACGTTCCAAACTAACCTGCCTAACAGGTTGTCTCCGAAATATTGCAAGGTGTCTTCCCATTAATGTTCGCTACACAATCTACAACTCAATGGTGAAACCTCATATTGATTACTTGATAGAGGTATGGGGATCAGCTGCTAAAACACATCTTAATATGCTGCAAAGGGCTCAAAATAAATTGATCAAAGTTCTTTTTCATTACAAGCATTTAACTCCAACCGTTAAAGTATATCAAGAGACAAAACTACTTAATATTTGCCAAATCTACCATTACAACACGTCTATTTTAATAAGGAAAATTTTAAACAATGAAATTCACACACAATTAAAGTTCACAACAACTGTACACACGCGTAGTTCAAGACGTGCAAACTTCTTAAAACTCTCTAAACCCAGGACTAATTACGGAAAAAATAATATTATGTATCAAGGGGCACGGATCTACAACTTACTACCCAAAAATATAAAAGACGCGAAGTCGCTGGTATTATTTAAAAAGCTGTTAAAAGAACACATTTTCAAAGGCACCACCTGAAATTCATTCTAAAACCTTTGACTACTGATAAAATTCATGCACTACTATTTTTGTTGTTATATTATTATATGTATTATTTTTTATTTTTATTTTTGGTAATTAATTTTTACACTGTTGTAAAACATAACTTGTTAAAAGAAAAAGAAAAAAAAAAAAAACTTTTTGCATCACAAGGTAATTACTGCATGTAAACCCACCATTATATTTGCTCCACTACAAACCAGTATTAGATCGGACAACTTAATTTTAAGAAGTACCTACATCGCATAAAAATCAGTTTGGAATTATCTACCTGTCAACGTTTACTTTTATCTTTTATAATTTGTATTTTATTTCTCCTTGTAAGTGATTTGTGTAATCTTGAGAAATAAAGTGATATTTAAACCGTAGATAAATAGGAACTTTACTTTTAATCAAAGACCTGACAAAACATGTAAGTTTTAAGGTACGCCGGCTAAGCATATTCAAACCTCGCAAAGGTCGCAACCTTCGAGGCGGCGGAGAAGGCCCGGGAGGACGACCTCCACTTGGACCTGATCCGCCGCCGGCGAACCGGGCGGCGGAGGCGCGCTTACCTGCGCCTCATGCCGCCCTGAGTGTGGCCGCGGGTGGACGGAGTGGGTTTCCCCTCCACCCGCATTAGTTTGGCCCGGCGCTAGGAGGGGTCCAGAAGGCGATAACTACCTGGACCCCTCCTAAACTGGAAGCGCAAAGAGGGCACACCGTGTGGTTTTAGTCGGTTCGAGTCCGATACACCACCCCGCCGCAAACCCCCGTGGGGTGACGGTCCGAGGGGATTTCCACACGTTAAAAAAAAAAAAAAAAGAAAGGATATTCCAATATTTGCAAGCGGCTATTTTGATGCAACCCTTGGTTTTCACATTATGAGTGCATGGCTAGGATTAGTCATTAGTTACGTGACCTTGTCTCATGCCCATGTAAGTCCGACGACCATATGAGTTTGTTATAAAGATAAGCATATTCAAAGTTCCCTTTTAATTTCAGGATGATCTCTCTAGGATTCCATCATCAGATCCTGATTTGGTGGTAATGGGACCACCTCGGGAATATACCCTTTAGATTACAAAATAATTTTGAATATCGGTTCACAATTGATGGAAATATTGCGTAACAAACACAAAAAAATACAGACTAATTGATAACCTCCTATTTTGTGAAGTCGGTTTAAAATTTACGCAACTACTGCTAAACTTGAGCTTCAAATATTAAGGTATCACCCAAGTTTACGGACGTATTCGCATCGAGGTATGATAGAATAGAATTGCTTCCGCTAGGGTGACAGATGGCCTGACATACCACCCCGGGGCCTGCGTTTATGAAGGACGGAGGTAGTTTTGCGACGTCCGGTGCCTGAATCGTGAAAGGGCATCAATAAACTGCCAATGCGTTGGCAAAGATGCGTCGATTGCATGGGTAATTACTTCGAATAACAGAAATAAAAAAGTTTGAAAAAATAAGTACTTTCACTTATTGCATACAAAACGGCAATTTCATAGGTAAAGACCTATTATATAAAATTCTCGTGTGTTGGTGTGCGGTGTTAGAATTTGTACTCCTCCGAAAAGGCTCCACCGATTTTCGTGAAAGAACAATGGCAGAAACATATTTACCTAAAACTCAAGCGTTTAAAAAAATGACTCACAGTAAACTTAATAAATATTTTTTCTATGATTTATCATTACACCACCATGTGTTGTATAAGTCTTATAAGAGATCGGATATTTTTGAAGATTTTATTTGACTAAGTACGTAATGTCAGATTCGCCATCACGTATAACCGACTAGGGATGCGTGGTGGCAATATTATATTATGAAACGTTTTATCGATAATCGATTTTTATAGCTTTGGCTAAAATATCTACCGAAGGTTCACCTTTTATGCTTATGAATTTGCTTCTGCCCACGGGTTCACTCGCACGGTAGAGTGACTAAATCAACATAATTAAAAATAATTTAGAATATTTTTTACTCTTTTTAAACGATTTTTGCTAGACTTTTGCTAGAATATAGTTACGTTATTCTAACAATGTTTGCAGTATAACAATATACTGCACAATGTGATAAGAAAAAAACATTGTCGTTGAAAACAGCTCATAAATAGACATACATCGATATTTTCAAAATGTCGATACGTCGCCGTTTGGAACCTGTCAAGTGCCGCACTCACCAGTCTTGTCGTTTGACACTCACACGCGTGACTTCATGACCAAGCAATGACACGGCAATTCTTTGTTTTTTTATTATTTTTCAATGTAGTGTTAAACTCGCATATACATATGTTATGTTTTTATATAGTCGATTCGTATAGTCTGTTATGCATGATGTGACGCCTTAAAATGTTGTGCATTAATCTCAATATAACGGATGCATGCTTTAGATTTTAGGAAATAATGTAACAACTACTAACTGTCCAATAAATAAATAAAAAAATTGCTTCTGTCTTGTATAAATGTGTATTGAAGTACAATTATTCGAATAATTATTTTTAATTTATTATTTATTTATTTATAGCTAGTATTACACCTTCTTGGTGAGCGAAGAGGTTTTTCTATTGTTTTACTATGAATTGGTACAATAACCTGCACCCTTTTAGAGAGTCGGCTAACACTTTCAACAGCAAAATAGGGTTGTTTATGAGTAATAATAATGAGAATAATATTTTCGGTTATATGAGAAACAACGCCATCTAGTTTCAAACAAAACATTGACAATATGTTAGTACTTAACCTCGAAACATTCAAAATACAATATCTTTTTTCCTAGACTTCTTTCGCTAGTAATTTTGTTATGAGAATGGTCAAGAATAAATTCTCAAGTGTTTTAGACATTTTTGATATTTAAACGCTACCATTTCAGTTCAAATAAAATTATGTATGGGGACCTGCCATTGTTCTTTTGTGTGCATATCGGGTAGGTCTGAGAATCGGCCAACATCTATTTTTCATACACCTAATTATTATTTTTTGACAATTTTTTTTAAATAATGTATATGGCAAAACAACGTTTGCCGGGCCAGCTAGTTGTATAATAAAATTAGTTACGTTATATAATTCGGCTTAAATATAACAAGTCTGTGGAATACTATTAATTAAATGATAATTCAATGTGTGGGGATCATCTAGATGGAAATACAATACATTTTAATCGTTTATTATGAATTACAAATAGCAACTTGACTCATGTCAGATCAAATCACACTTAAAATATAAAAAAATAAATTTTAGTTTTCATTCTCTTGATGCCGTTCTGTCTTATTTTTCTCGTCTTCTAAACCAATAAGCAAAGACTGCGTTGATATTCTCTGGTCATTCAAAGGTAGTGAGGTATTAGTTCTTTTTGGTTCATCGGTTTTAATTTCCCTTAAATAACTTTTATTTAAACTCATTACTATAGGTCTTTGACCATTAATACCTCCGATATTACCTCGATGTACTACACTGCCTGTACCTGCCAGATTTGACGGTTTTCCTCTATAGGTTATATAGTATTTTGCTGCGTTAATATTATTTTGTTGCAATATTTCTTGAGGACTTGTATTGGAATTAAAATCTTGAATTTGTTTGATCTGATCGTTTAAATTCAGATTTTTTTCATGTAATACTTTCGTTTGAATAAGTTTTCCGTCTTCGAACGTTAATTTTAGTATATCTTCTTTTCGGAAACCATTTAAATTTGACGATACCTCTGACACACTTCCAGCCAACGTCAATTCTTGCAACAGTTTTTGTGGATCATTAATTAGTTCTGAATCGCTTGCCAATATATCTTGGATATTTTTCAAAAAAATTGTCATGGGAATATTGTATTTTACATAATATACAGGATGGTAGAGAACAGGCTCGTGGTCTTTGAGCAAATAAGTTAATTCAACATAGCCATTGTTATGTTCTAGTGATTCTGGTGCAAATTCATTATTCTGTGCCCATTCAGGCTTTTGAAATACCTTCGAAAGCAAGTTTTTTAATTCTAGTTGATTATATCCTGGATTAAGAGATTGATCGAACTGTTTACCAGAATTCATCAAATAATACATAAGAACTTTTATGTTATGATGAGTTGTACTGGTATCCATGTTTGGAGTCGGAAATGGTTCACGATTCAAAATATGGTAAACATCAAATACCACTTTTGGTTTCGAGTTTTTGTATGGTGCCAATAATAAGAGGAGATTATTAAGGGTTTTTGTATCTATATGTCCTGAGTTCTCCTGTGATAGAAGAGAAACGAGAGTCTCCAGTAGGTTATAAGCCAACATATTTTTTTTATGCAAGTAAAGAAGAATATCAATAAATTTTGAATGCAGAATATCATATTCTTTTAAGCTTTTGATTAAGCAGTCTATTAGATTCGGTGCCTGAGGCTTATTTTTTAATAAAAAGAGAGCAACTTCCAGACGTTTTGGATGTATAAATTCCCCGGAATCTGTTCTTAAGAATTCTAATAGGTAAATTATGTTCTGTTCTGATAAAAACGATAATTTTTTGGGTAGTAATATCTCCTTTAGAATTTGAATTGCTCTTGGATCAATTTTTCCTATTTTGTTTCTTTCCATCAATAAAAATATGGTTTTCAGATTATTTTGAGAGAAATATGGGATTTTATCAAAGTTCACTAGCATTGACGCTATGTCAATACGTTTTTTTGGAACATACCCCATTTTGTTTGGTTGGATAAATGTCAGTAATATTTCCACTTCCTTGTCGGAGAATATATTGTTTTTATTTCGATTTAATAATGCAAGGATAATGTCATTAATTCTATGGTCAACATGTTCTGTTTTAATTTTTGTGAGCAGTGAAAATATTAAATCAAGCATTTGTGGACTATTGGAAGTATTTTCGGGTTGATGAATTAACCCATAAATAATATCTAGGGTTGAAACCTCTACTTGTCCTGTTTTACCCGGCGATAGTAGGTAGTAGAGGGTTTGTGTCTTTTTATTGTTCCACTCACTATTTATCCGGGGTTTTATCAAATAGGTAACTATTTCATTGAATCTTTCCGAGTCTACAATTCCTTTAATGAATGCATTCAAAACAGAAAACAAAATTTTGTAAAGTTGAGGTTTGATAACTTGTTGGTTCTCTTGCAAAACTTTAATTATATTGTTTACATGCTTTTTAGGATTATCTGTAATTAGTTGGATAATTTGTTCCACAACATTTGAAGGCAAGATTTGTGCATAGACCTGTTGCGTAGGTTGCTCTTTGGGTGTTTCTGGCGTATGAATAACTTCAATTTGTTCTATATTAATGGGTTTTTCAATGTATGTAATTTCTGGTTCATAGATGGGTTTTGAATCTACAATATGTGTTAGTTGGTCGTTAGAAAATAATTCAGGTTCCTCAGGATAAATGGTATCTTGCTCCTGAAAATAGAGGTGCTTGGGGTTTTCAAAATATGTGTTGAATTCTTCAAAATAGGCAGGCACAGGTTTTTCCATGTACATTGGTTCAGGCTGTTCAACAACAACTAGTTTGGGTTTTACTTTAAACAAGTCATGTTTCAAATCAACATTGTGAGCAACATTAGTTTCTTTCTCATTAACTGGCCTAGATTCTTCAACATGGGTAGGTTGAGGTTTACTGATGGACTCCGGTATAGATTGCTCAAAATAGATGTCTGCTTCTATATAATCACGTTCTTTTTCAACATATGTGGGCTCAGGTTCAATTTCATCAGTGTAAATGATTTCAGATGCTTCAACAGAAACGGTTTCTGGGTTATTGATAGGGATTGGCTTAGGGTTTTCAATAAAAACAGGTTTATCGAAATAGTTCGACTCTGGTTCTTCAATAATAATGGTTATTGGTTCTTCGTTACTATATTCTTTCTCATGGGTCAATATGGTGTCTTCAACATATACAGGTTGAATTTCAATCATAGGATTCTGTTTATTATTTATGTAAGTAGGTTCAAAATTGTCAATAACGCCAGGTTTCTTAACAGGGACAACTTTTTTAATATTGTTAGTTTTGCTATCTTCAACGTATATTAATTTAGGTCCATTCAAATAGAACGGTTCAATGCGAGGATTTAATTCTTCAGTGTAGATAAGTTTTGGGTGTTCTACATAGATAGCCTTAGGTCTTTCTTTAACGTCATGTGGATTTAAAGCTTCTACATATGTAGGATTAGATTCTATTTTATAATTTGGTGTGGATTCCTCCAAATATTCAGGGTAGTGATTGTAGATTACTTTAGGTTCTCCAAAATAATTAGGTTTAGTAACAGGTCTTCTTTCGTCAGTATAAATGGGTTCTGGTTCCTGAATAGCAATAGGTTCAGGTTCATTGACATGACTAGGTAGAGGTTTCTGGTATTTAGATTTGTCGATAGAGATGGGATTTTGTTTTTCTACATAAATAGGTGTAGGTTCATCGATCACAATAGGTTTATTGCCTGGTTTTAATTCTTCAACGTAGAAAAGTTCTGGGTGTTCTACATAAATAGACTTGGGTTTTTCTTTAACATCATCTTGATTAAAAGCTTCTTCATATCTAGAACTAGATTCTATTTCATAATTTGGAGTAGCTTCCTCAAAATGTATAGCATATTGACTGTAGATTTGTTTAGGTTCTTTAAAATAAAAAGGATTATTAACAGGTCCTCCTTCTTCGATATACATGGATTCTGGTTCCAGATCGGATTTAGTTTGAGGCTCCTTGACATAAATAGATGTAGGTTCATCGATTACAATAGGTTTACTACCAGCTTTTAATTCTTTAACGTAGATAAGTTCTGGATGTTTTACATAAATAGGCTTGGGTTTTTCTTTAACGACATCTAACTTAAAACCTTCTTCATATGTAGGACTAGATTCAATTTCATAATTTGGAATGCTTTCCTCAAAATATACAGGGTACTGATTGTAGATTGATTTAGGTTCTTCAAAATAATTAGGTTTATTAACAGGTCCTATTTCTTCCATATAGATGGGTCCTGGTTCCTTAATAGTAATAGGTTTAGGCTCCTTGTCATAAATATGTATAGGTTTCTGATGGTTAGATTCGTAGTCAGACATGGGATTGAGTTTTTCTACATAAACAGGTGCAGGTTCATTGATAAACATGGGATTAATGCTAGGTTTTATTTCTTCAACGTAGACAGGTTCTGCTTTTTCTTCGTAAATAGGCCTAGATTCTTCCGTATAAATGGGTTTAAAGGCAGGTTTAGATTCTTCAGGATTGATAAATTCGAGGGTTTCTGTATACAATGGTCCAGTGTCTTGAAAGTATATTTTTTTTAGTTTTTCATTATAAATGGGTTCGACGTGCGGTTTTGACTCCTCAATGTATGTGAATTCTGGTTCCTGCACATGAATGCTTTCAGGTTTATTGATAAAAATAGGAATAGATGTTACTGGTTTCAATTTTTCTTTAGATATAAGATTTAGCTCCTCTACATAAGCGGGTTTAGATGCAGCAATATAAATAGGTTTAACGTCAGATTTTGGTTGTTCTACGTAAAAAGGTTTAGGCTCTTCAATATAAATGGGTTTAATTTTATGTTTAAAATCTTTAACATATGTAGGCTCGGGTTCTTCTAGATAAATAGGTCTGGATTCCTCAATGTACATAGATTCGGGTTGATCGATGTAAATAGGTTTATGTTCTTCAATATAAGTAGGTTCTCCGACATAAACCGGTTCTTTAAAGTGTAGTGTAGTGAGTTCTGGTTTTTTAATGTTGATCAGCGCAGTGTCTTTAATGTAGATTGGTTTAGATTCCTTGAAATAAAAGGGTGTATTAACAGGTTTCGATTCATCAACGTAAACAGGTTCAAAGTTTTCAACGTAAGGTGGTTCAATCTCTTCAATAGGAATCGGTTTAGGATATCTATTATAAATTGGCTCTTGAACATAGGTTGGTATATCTTCTTCAATATTTGCTTTGTGTATTTCAGTATCAAATATATCAAGCTGTATATTCAAAGGCGGACTCTTAATTACATCTGTTTGAATTTCCTCTTGTTGGGGTCTCACTTGTTTATGAGGTAAAATTTCAAACTGCGGTGTAAATTGTGGTGTTATTATTATCTCGTTTGGTATGTATTTTGGAAACGAGGGTTGCTCCTGAGGTAAATATTGCGGCACCATGTTATATGGTTTTACTCCTGGCTCTGACTGAGACTCGTTTAATTCTTGAAAATAAAATGGTATCTGAACCTCAGGTTCCATAATTTCAGATGAAACCTCAGGAGCAGGAGAAACGAATTCGTGTATGGGTCTGGATACTGGTCGTGGTATCTCATACACGTTCAGAATGAAATGTAGATTTTCGCAGAAATGTGATGAAGTTGAGTGCACCTTAAACTCGTTACATCCAAATATAGGGAACAAGCATTGAGGGTGTTTTCGAAGTTGCGACAAAAATTTGGGTATTTGTTTCAAAAATCTTATGATCGAGAGTGGACAACCATTATTGGTATCGAATAATTTATATTCTAATAAAGGCTTTGGTAAAGATCTTAATTCATCGTGAGTTGGATCATTTTGGATCTTAGATGATTCTGCTTTCTCTTCGCTTTCAGATTTAATGTCATTAATGATAAGATCTAATGCATCGGGTTGTTTCTTTACATATTCTAAAACATTCTTTACTATATTCTTCACAGATAGTGGCGAAAAGCATTCTCCTCCGTTGCTTTCAAAAAAGTTTTGAGGGTAGCCTTTAACAAGTATCTCTGGCGTCTAGAAAGGTCAAAAAATATATATTAGTAGATTTCATAATATATAATATATATATAACTTACTTATATATCCAGAAGTGGACTATTGAAGGCTGTTGATGTGATAGCTAACGCACGAAAATGTACTTATCCTTTGGGAACAAAATTTCTGAGCAAAATGCTTGTACGGTTCATCATCATATTCTTCCTGGCCTGACCATTAAAGAAGAGTGGTGGTGGTTATAGGCGGGCGAAGCCGCGGACAAAAGCTAGTATTATGTAAAAAGATTAACGATTTTGCACTTGGCACTTGTCCTCATTCACGAGTCCGAAGCTCAGGACCGAACGCGATGGAGGATTATTGTGGACGCCCTCTGCCCCATCTTTGGGACATAGGAAGTCAAAGAAGTCAACGATTTCACTCACGTATACATTATGGGGATTCAATGAGTGATCAATGAGAGAAACGATTTTCCATGTCGGTAAGACCAGCGCCAGACGCCAATGCAGAAGGTCGCTTGAACCCTTTAAATATTAAGTAGGTTAGTATAAGTGGGTACCTCAAAAGATCTACGTTCACTACTCTCGTTATTCCTAGATTGGTCACCATTGCGTGCTACTTCTCTTTCAGCAGTTGCTACGGACTCATTTTCATCCTGAAAAATGAAAATGTCATAATAACTTATTTATGGTAAAACTATTTAACAGTCTGTTGAAACAAAGTGTCAAATAAGAATAAGGAATTTAAAATTCCATTTTTAAATTGGGAAAACAAACGACGAACGTAAACTTTAACGTAAATTTTGCGTTCTCCAACTTAATCATCGCCACTTTGAAAAGTAGGTTGCGGCCATATAGACAAATAGATAATACTATATTTGTACACCAGGCTTTTACAGACATTATAAAGTAATTAAGCGTACAACAATAATGTAATGTACAAGGGGCGGCCTTATCGCTAGGCGGCTAGTTTTACAGCGCGACTTTAATTCGTATTTTTTGTATTGACATTGTATCTACCTGTGAATTGCAAAAGAGTGGCCACGAGTTCGTTTGCCCTTTCTTCTCATAAGGCTCAACCCCTTGGAAACGGGCGGTTGTAGATCGGCACAGGCATATCATAGATTTTGTATGGGTTTGATTTTTGTTAAATTAATTAGGTTACTATTTGACAAAACAGAGATTGTTGCTTTTGTGTGTATTGATCTATGACTTTAGAGTCTACATGGAAGACGATTTCAATAAATTTTGGAAATTTTATGAAATAAAGAAAGTTTGAGTTTGACTTTAGGCATAAGAGGCAAACTACCATATGGGTCACCTGATGGCAAGTGACTACCACTACCCATAAAGACATCTGCAACTCAAAACTCACAAGTGCACTACCGCCCTTCCCCAGGATCAGGGGGAGCGGAGGGTAATCAGGGATTTCCATCCTAGGGTAGGTACACCTGGTTCCCCGGCAACTGGTACCCGAGACGACGTGCGGTTTTTGGTCTGTTTTCGGTCTGAGGGGAGGAGAGTCTGGACTTCGGAAATTTCACTGACTTATGTTTGTAGATAGCAACGAAAGAATTGTTTAACAGGAGTTTTCTGTGAGGCCGTGGTATAACTCCGATCGCGCCGGCTCATTTATGGCTCTTTTTTCGAAATCAAATATTTATTACGCTTTTAGGCCTTAAAGACGTGTTTAATAAATCAGACTCGTTTCAACGTATTGTTCTTTAATACGCATGTCGTGCGTTACGTAAAGAAAATGTACAGAAATTTTAATATTACTGTTGTTTGACACAATGATAGCTTAAATAACATAATCATGTTATATTGTACATTGACCGATACACGGTTAGTAATTACTTAATTATAGAATTTCATTTAACCTTTACTTTTCACGATAACGTTGCCTTCCAATCTGTTTCGCGTAATAATACAAATACTTAAATAAAATTGGAGTGTCTGTTTGTAATATTAAAATAACCGCTTTTTACTAAATGCATATGTATGTTTACACGGTACATATATATGCCAAAATAACATTTTTTACAATTTTTGTCTGTCTGTTTGTTCCGGGTAATCTCTGGAACGGCCCGACCGATTTCGACGGGACTTTCACTGGCAGATAGCTGATGACATAATTAGTAACTTAGGCTACTTTTTTTTAGACTAGCTTCGCCCCGCGGCGTTGCCCGCGGTTATAACAACAAACGCGGGTAACACCGCGGGTCTCAGCTAGTTAAATATATAAGAGCAAAATACTTTGATAAGAGTTAATATGTAACTGTATTTGTGTGTGACACTTTAAGATCCAAAACAGTCACTGAGCTTAGCGTCCGAGCCGTGTTTTTTAAAGACAACTCCCTCACTAGAAATAAATCCTGTGTCGCTGGGGACTTTACAAACAAATATGAAACGGTTAAAGGACACCCAGACTCAGAACAACAATTTGTGAATCACACAAAGTGTTGTCCCATGTGGGGATCGAACCCACAACACTCAGCGCAGTAGGAAGCGGCGAGGTGACCGTTAAAACGGCTACGCCATCCGTGCAGTCGTAACAGCAATGTAAGTGTAACCCTATTTACTGCCCTCTTCTCCGATAATATAGGCATGAGTATATGTATTTCCTACCACTTTCTAATTTAATATTTTTTATTGGTTTTCCCCATTATCATATATATTAACTAAAATATATCTACAACTATATCCATACTAAAATTATAAATGCGAAAGTGTGTCCGTCTATCTGTCTGTTACCTCTTCACGCTTAAACCGCTGAATTGATTTAGATGAAATTTGGTACAGAGATCGTCCGAGTCCCGGGAAAGAACATTTCAAAATTTGGGCGTTAAATTTGTCTCTGTCTAACTCTACGTTTAAGTCCCCAAACGAGGTGTCTACATCGATTGGGGACTTAGACGTAAGTGAGTACTACGCAGAACAACAGCACTGCAGAGAGAAGGAAAACTTGACACAAACCCTATACCAACCCGTCTGGCCAGCGAGGTATAGTAGGCTGAAACCTCCTTTATAAGAAGAGACTTGTATCCAGCAGTGAACTGTTCAAGGCTGTTGATGATTCATTGGAGTTAGTGCAAACTGAGATCTTTAGGTTTATACATTGGTGATGTTTATTCATATCGTTTTGTCTATACTTTTAAAACTAAGAATTTTAATCGAAATCTCATCAATAGTCTTTCTGCAGATATGTCTTTATAACCTTAATGTCTACTCTGACGATTCGTACCAAATGATGTGCATTTAAGGTGAATCTTCATATTGATTTCCCTCTCGAGGATTCGATATTTACTCACAGTACAAACAACCCCGAAGAACTTCGACACAATCGCATTACTAATTACTGTCGATTAATGTGTTGGGCAAATTTTTTGTCTTAGTCTTCTTTTTCGTCTTCTTTTAAGTTTATTCTAAGTCCGATTGCACAAGTTTTGAAAGTTTAATAACTAGAGAAGGAAAAGAGAAAGAAATATAGGCTTTCTTCTGACTATTACAAGTATTTTGTATTCCATTAATACATAAAGTATCAATGACTGATTGACTGTACGTATGGCGTAGTGGTTTAAGCGGTCGCCACGACGCTTACTACTACACCGATTGTTGTAGGTCCGATCCCCACATAGGACGACACTTTGTGTGATTAACAAAACGGTTGTTCTGAGTCTGGGTGTTCTTTGTGTCCGTTTCATGTATGTTTGTAAAGTCCCCGCGACACAGGAATATATTCCTAATGCGGAAGTTGTTGGAAAAAAAGGAAAGGAATGATTTATATGCGCCTACGCCGTAACAAACAGTAATAAAATGGTAATAAAAATGTGGTAATGGAATACTGAAACACGAGTATCAGCTACTCCCTCTGGACCGCATCCAACGAAGAGCGACTCAAATCGTCCATTGCCCAAAGATCCCCGATCGGCTCGATCCCTAGGCGTTTCTTTCTTTCTTAGCAAAGCGTATGCACATTTTTACCCCCTTTTTTAAACAAGTTCTCAAGAAGAAGTTAGTTTATAGTAAATGTTTTATTACTCAAATTATTTATGAAATCTTTTTTCTGTACACTGAATTGGTAAAAGTATATACATATTTAATTAATACTGTAGCTCTCGTTATTAACAATCTTCTTTATGTGCTGCGTCCTGTAACGGTTTGTAAATGTTGATGGTTGTGCAGATGGGCCTGCGCAGGTAGACTGGAGCGTAAAACTAATACACTGCACAGGCCGTTGCCATAAACGTGTCATACTGTGTTTAAAAACAACAAACCTATATTTTTTGTTTTCTTTTTAATACTAAAACTATCTGCTATATGTTTTTATTATGCCTATGGATTAATCACAATCGTTAAAGGGAAGAAAAATATATAGTACCCAAGTTAGAATGTTAGACTTAATTATTCTTGCTAAGGACTGAGTATATCAGGAATTTAGTAGACAAATTCGTGCTTTTAAACAACATCTAATAACCATTGTAGGATGAATGTAATTTGCCTCATATAGCCCATTAACTACAAATAACAACAAATTCTGTTAAAAATACTTTTAATACGCACAATACGCACAGCTAAAAAAACACCGCACAAATCTTGAACGACCGCAGCAACTCTGGATAAAGCTTTCAAGCGAATACTGTATTTATATGTATGAGCTAATGTTTCAGATTTTCTAGGGCTAGCTCCAATTCTAGTAAGTGTTCAGGTTCATGTAACGGAGCAAGACAAACATACGAAAAGCAGATCATGTCAGAAATGAACAATTGAGAGCAAAAACGAAGCTCCCGGACATCTTGACCAGAATCGATCAACAGAAATGGAGATGGACTGGCCACATGATGAGAGCAAATACAGAAAAATAGATTAACTGACTGGTATCCAAGGGACGGTAAGCGTAGTAAGGGGAAACAGAAGAGAAGATGGGAAGATGAGCTCAAACAAACGGCGGACACCAATTGGAGGAGAGTGGCTCGTGACAGAAACCAATGAAAGGAGCTAGAGGAGGCCTTTGCCAAGAGGCACACTGAATTGAGGGACATATTATAGCAACATTTATTATAGAGAAACATAAACAATTCAGAATAAAAGGGCAAATAATAATAATAATGTTTCAGAACATCGTAAAATAGTGCCCATATGTTTGGTGTAAGGTAATCAGTTTATATTATGATTCTTATATAAATTTACTTACTCGCTTATGTTCTTTCGATGATGACAGAATCTTTGTAGAATTATCTCCTTTTATCATTTCATGTCCAACGAGTCGGGTTTCTTCCTTTGAGAGTTTTTCTGCGTTAGAGTCATTTGTTTTAAGCTGTGCTTTATTGTCTTCAGTGTCGATTCCCTGTAGAATAATCGTGTTGGCAGAATATTTAAAATTTATAATATTATGTATGTATTTAGAAATATATAAGAATGTTTATCAGCAGACTGGTAACCACAGCACAGGCTCTGCCTAGCGTGAATGTGTGAAGTGTTCATTATTTAATTAATTAACATCATCATAAAAGGAGTCAATTTCGTTGCATTTTTATACATATTTGTTATCTCAAAAGTTCGTTATTTATAAACCACTTGGAAACTTGTTTTTTTTTATTATATTGCAATTTGATCGAAAAAAAGCAACCCTTAAAGGTAGAAAGAGAATTAAAAATGCATTTCATAACTTAGACTAAAGAGTTATTGGGTTTTTTTTTGTTGACGGGGTGGAAAATCTCAGGCTCCTCGGGGACGCAAGAGCCAGGAGTATGTGGTGTTTCCATTAAAAATAACCCCGGCGTCCGGACTCAGTCCTACTCCGAGTAGGACCCGGAACAAGTTATTTCAGGTCCCCCGTGGATCGATTATCCTGGGAAAACCTTGCTCTGAGGGCCCTGTGTAATTTCACATCAATCCGCTCTCGACGGCGAGCGATTGGTGGAGATTTCAGTGCTAGCCACTCGCAACACCGAACGCGATGACCGTGACGATCGAGGAGATATGAAATAGACTTACATTAGGGCCTCAGTTCAGTGGATCATTTTCAAAGGAATTTTGTTTCAAGAAAAGCGTAAAAAATTGAATTGAAACTTTATTTATTTGAGAAGGACGATGTTTATGGAAAGTGCTTTCAAGTTGCTCATTAGAAATATGTACGTGTTAACTATAAGTAACTGTTAATTTCTAAATTAAATCTTATTTCTGTTGACATGTCTTAGAATATTGCGAACTTGAAAACGCCTTGACCGATTGTGCAAATGTTTTCTTGTTATTTGTATATTAATATGATGTTATATGATATTTTGGATTCATGTTGTATGAATTGTGTTTACCGGGATCATCGGAAATTTATAAAGTTTTTCTTTTTATGAAACTTTTAATAATGATTGTGTTTGAATTTTACTGTCACAGCAAAACGTGCTGTGACGAATTCCACATACTTATTATTAATTACTTACTGAAGATGTTTTTAATAGGGACTGATAGTGATATTTTAATGATTTAAAGACAGTGATTATATCTTTGACTTCACGGTCACCTCACCGCTTCCTACTACGCTGTGTGCTATTCGTTTGATCCCACATGAGACAACACTTTGTGTTCAACATATTGTTTTTCTAAGTCTGGATGTTCTTTATCTCCGTTTCATGTATGTTTGTAAAATCCCCACGACACACAGTACACAGTAAAAACAGTAACCTGTAGATGTTCCATGTGGCGAGAGTACGCCATAACGATGGTCGATGCAGCGTACCATCGATATGGTGTCCTGTCGATATAACGACCATCGTTTTCGATATAGGGACAATCGATGGAGTGATTTGCGATATTATGAACTTGACACGTTATTAGAACATAATGACTATGCATTGTCCTAACACCTGTAATGTTTCCTTTATGAGATACAGAGCAAACGAGCATAAACACCTACCCCATAAACACCTGCCACTCGCTCTTTTTGAGCTTAAAGGCTAGAAGGTCATATCGGTCCGAAAATACGTGAGGTTACAGGTACAGGTTGGTTATGCAAGGCAAAAAGTGATGGAGCACGGAGGGATAAACTGTCTCGATCTATTCAGCACACCAAGCTCCTTCGAGGCTAATTTGGCCTAACAGGCTAAGTTGTTTAATTTACACAAATTCAAAGGATAGTTTTCTTAAATGAACCTCGTGTTGTGGAACTGACTGACAGACAGAAAACGCATAGTCTAACACACATGAGATATAGAATTGAATCATTATTTTGTATAGCTTTTATCTTCATTAGTAAATTGCAACCGTGCGATGCCGTGGTGTGACTGCGTGGCAGAAATGAATGTATTTTTAGATTGCACAGATTTAAAACGCAATAATTTTTATGAGAGGAATCTTATTTTCAAACTGACATATTGGAACTCAAAGATTGACTGTGAAAGCTTTTTTGTAGCAGATGCATCATCATCATCATCAACAGCCTATAACAATCCACTGCTGGACATAGGCCTCTCCTTAGAAAGGATGTTTTGGCCTACTATACCACGCTGGCCAGACGGGTTGATATAGGGTTTGTTTCAAGGTTTCCTTCTCTTTGAGGTGCTGTTATCCTGAGTAGTTTGCTCCCTTAGTCGGCTGTTACGATACCCACGGGATAAATAGGGGTGATGACTTTCCGTATTCTTAATCCGTCACCACACGCAGATGCGGCTGATATAAATAAAACTGTACACTTGGTAAAGAAGTTTTTTAAGGTTGATTCAACTTTATTCGCTCTTAAATTGTATACCTTTTTGTTCTTACAGTTGAAGTTCAAATATCTCCATTAAAATACACTTATAATCGAACTTTGGCCTCCACAACAATAAATTCCCACGTTGATAGTGACTAATTTTTGCTCAAATTTTTTATATAACTGACTAGCTGACCCGCGCAACTTCGTCTGCGTCTCTCAATAGTAATAAATTTTCTCCGTTTATGAAACATTCTTCATTGGTGCTCCGCTCCTATTGGTCTTAGCGTGATGATATATAGCCTATAGCCTTCCTCGATTAATGGGCTATCTAATACTGAAAGAATTTTTCAAATCGGACCAGTAGTTCCTGAGATTAGCGCGTTCAAACAAACAAACAAACTCTTCAGCTTTATAATATTAGTATAGATTCTCTAAAATTCAAAGTCTCCTTTTCAAAAAACTTACCCGTGAATCACAATGAACAAAACATAAAAACGAAAAACATAGCACTAAGCGCAAAATCATTATGCCTTATCGAGCGGCTGGATCGATTCTGCAAATCCTATCGAACATTGAAAGACTTTATAATTGGCTGTGGTGTCAAATTATAATGTGTGAAATTGAAAACAATAATTTATATAATGTGGTATTCTACGTAATTTTTGCAGTCAAATACACGATTGGAAGCTGTGCTTGGCTGACTCGTTTCAAATGTTCAAGATAAATATATGTTCCCTTCTTATATATCCGCAGGCTTCTAGGATGTAGCGATATACTAATATGTGTTTAGATTTGTAATCAATACATATGTTTCTGTTTTGTTTTTAGTATTGTTGCACCTGCGATTAGTTTCCACGAATGGTTCAATAGTGTGCAAATAGCTCTTGGGTTTTTGTAATGGTTTTAGAATCCATTTTGAAGGATATACTTTTTCTACTAACATATGCTGTACAAAGAAGTCGCCATAAGCTGTTAACTGTACTATCAATAGATGTGTATAATTAATGTATTAACACTATTTAATGCTCATCAACGAAACCTTTCTGATACTGTTTGAATGGACCAACACGGTCCATTTAAACAGTATACATACAATTTTATCTTTGCATCTACCGCATCAGATTTCTTCATCACCTGAAGCTAGACTAGGAGAGAATGCTCGCCTGTGTACAACATGAATATTAAGTTTCAATAAAAAAAGTGGCACCCCGTGAGTGCCTACAGAAGTGAAAACTTATATACAGAGGTGTCGGTAACGGTAACTGTCCGAGTGTCGCGAGTTCAATTGTTTTTTCCCCATCTCAAAAAATACCCTACGCGCCCTATACTACGAAGTCATTCTTAAAGCATTAATTTTACTTAGTATATTAAATTAGATCGTCATCTATACAACATTTGTCAAGTTATCAAGTACCCCATTTGTCAAAAAAGCTAATACTTCACCAACCACTAGACCACGGATTCCCAAACTATTTTGGGCAAGATTTATTTTCTAAAATGAACTGATACCTTAGACCCCACAGCCAAATTACTACACGCTTATCGACTTGTTGATTTAAACGTATAACAATGATACTTCCTACTAAAATATTAGTCATTCCCATAAAAATTTGGTATACGTAACACAACTAATACTGTATCTTGAAAGTTTCAAATAAGAACTTGTGTTAATTATAAGGGGTCAATTTTAGAACTCGTTGACCCCAAAATCAGTTTTCGTTTATGTCGACCACTTTGGGAATCCCTGCACTAGACGAGCAGGTTCATCATATAATGATGATGTAAGGTCCGCGAGTTAAAGTACCACTGTATGATTCCAAAGTCGTTGCCGATTCTGTCACTGATGTTGTGCTTCAGGGCATGGAATTATTCGTTCTATCTACATTCAGTCCGATCGGTGGCAGATCCAAGCCTTGGTTCGACAGATCCTGCAAAACTGCAACTACAAAAGCAAGAATGTTACAAAACATGGGCAAATGCAGCTACGGTAGGTGATGTTAATACCAACACGCTGAAAAAGCAATACAATTTTGCCTCCAGGTCCCTTAAAAGAACTATTGCCAGGGCGAAATCAGATCACACCAGCCGGATTGGTGAGAGACTGGTGAGACTTCCTTCTGGAACTAGTGCATTCTGGTCTCTTGCCAAGGCTGTGCAGAGGAATTTCTGTAGCCAATCCCTTCCACCACTACAGATGGGAGATAATGCGTTGGCCTATGATGGCAAAGAGAAAGTTGATCTCCTAGGCCAACTTTTTGCATCCAACTCGACTTTGGATGACGGTTCACCCTGAAATAAGTGCGTAAAGCACTGCTTTTCCTCGATATTCATAAGTCGATTGGGAGCGATGTAATCTCTCCTATTGTGCTGAAGACGTGTGCTCCAGTGTTGGCACCGGTTTTAACGCGCCTTTTTCGACTCTCCTACTCCCTAGGCATCCCCCTCCAACTGGAAGCTCCTCCGGTACTTATAAAATCACCAGCTTCTCAATGACATGACAATATGGTTTGACAATATAGTTTCTTTATGACAAGGCCCTCGATCGGGTCTGGCAGAAGGCGCTTCTCTCAAAGCTCCCTTCCTATGGGCTTCCCGAGAAACTATGTAACCGGATCAACGTTTTCCTTTCGGACAGAAGCATTAAGTGCGTTATCGACGGACTGTCAATGCCGGTGTCCCGCAAGGCTGTGTGTTATCACCCACACTATTTCTTCTTGATATGTTGCAAACTAGTAGCATCCATTGCTAAGCAGATGATAGCATGGGAGATGCCTTTTATACCGGTCGCCCCAATATTTCTCTAGAAATCGATTTCTAGAGAAATAGTAAGAGCAAACTTGTATCTGAAATTAAAAATTCCTTAGCTAAGGTTTGAGATTGTGGTGGACTGAACCTAGTCCATTTCAACCCAAAAATATACAGGTTTGTGCTTTTACCGCAAAAGATACCGTTTGTCGTATCGCCTCGATTTTAGAGCACCTTCCTAACTGCCACAGCCAGTATCGGAATCCTAGGCATCGACAGACCGAGCGAAGTCCAGTTTCGGAGTCACTTAGAGGGTAGGGTCCAATTGGCTCGATCCCTTGGCGTTCCGTAGAGATGTAGCTTCACTCTACATTCTCTATCGTATGTATCACGGAGAGTTAAAGCGGCGGTAGCTTAGTGGTTAAGGTATAAGGTTGCGATCAAGAGGTCGTGGGTTCGAATCCTGCCCAGTACACTACCGACGTGAACCCAGTCCTAACACAAGCAATTTAGCTTAGCTGGAGGGATTAACGGGAATACTAGTAATCTCGGTTACTAGTAAGCCCTTACAAAAAAAAGAGTGCTCCGAGGAATTGTGCGGACTAATACCAGCCACAACTGTCTGCCATCGTTCTACACGGCAAAATTTTCATCCTCACCACCTGGATGATTGGCACTCCACCACTGTGCGCTTTTTAAGATTTAAGATTTTTTTTGCTTGGCACAACCAATCTGTGGAACGAGTTATCGTCTGCGGTATTTCCGGACCGATACGACTTTCAAACATTCACGAAAAGATCGTACTCCTTCCACAAAGGCCGGCAACGAGCTTGTGACTTCTGAGTTGCACGCGTTCATGAGTGGCGGTGGTTGCTTCCCATCAGGTGACCCGTCTGCTCGTTTGCCCCTCTTCAATAAAAAAAAGAAAAAAGTATTTTCACCTCAACCGCAAATGACGCAAAACGTAAACTTTCTTCGACAATTAGTTTTGCTACAATTGTCATAAATTTGAATAAATAAAAAGCCATGTCAGCAATTATCTTTAATACACCCGTAGCGTCACGAGCAACATGCGTTTTATAACTAAAATACAATGACAGAGTTCAAATGCGTCATAGCAAGACGTATACCGATATAAAACAATGTTGAATACCTGCGAATACTCGTGTCATCGCTTTACTGAGGATAATGGTAGTGACATAACTCGATTCGAATAAAGAAAGTAGGGGTTCAGCTACGGGAATTAATTACCAGAGACTTCTATAACAAAAGTAATAATCTCACACACGGCCGTCTGATCCCAAACTAGGTAGAGCCTTTAGTATGCCAATCAGAGTATAGATAAACATACAATACATTCATAAATATTTCTAAATACATACGTATTATAGATAAACTACAGCCAGACACAGCACAAATGACTTGAGAAACAATTATTTGCCTTGGGTGGGAATAGAACCAACGACTTCCAGCTTCGCAGTCAGCATCACTGACCAGTAGTTCAACAAGCCCGTGGTCGTCCAATATATATCTTGAAAAAAAACATGAAAACTTGTCTTTAAGAAAATGCCGCCAGTTGGTATAGAAGTACATTATCCCGATTACAATATAGGTAACATGCTATTTCTTCTTCTAGTTCTAGTTTTAAACCAAGCTTATTGCTCGACTGAACTTGACTGCCTCGGCGGTGCAATTCGATTCTCGGGTCCGACCAAATGTTTATATGATATGCAAATATTTGTTTCGGAGTTTGGGTGTTTTCTATATATATAATATGAATGCATTTACAAAAGCAAACAAGTATATAAGTATTATATCAGTCAATCTAGATTTCATAGTACAAGCTCTGCTTATTATAGTTCCAACTTCTCCAATTTTTCCTCTGAATAATTTCGTTGCGGGTTCCAAGACAGTTTATTTTTTTTCGGGGACTTCCCAAGTGTCATAACTCGGTGTGTTTGAGAGTTACTTTCTCCCCTTACATTTTTGAAAACCTGTAGTTGCGTTTCCCACCGCTAAACGTGGAAACATTATATGACTTTTATTAATTCTATTGCCTAATCTTTCAAATGCCATAGGTCCCCATGACGCTCGACTAAATCCCCATTTAGCATCATGGGCTCTCCTACTATAAAGATTTGAGGTTTGATCTCGTTATAAAAGGAATCAAGCAGTAACTGTATATAATATAAAAAGTTCAATAAATTTGAATATTTTGTTTAATTTGGAAAAAATACATAACAATTTTGTAATTTACAATCTCATAAACGATTTGCGAAAAAGTAAAGAATACACATACATATTTTTTTATACTGTTAACTTACTTAACAATTTCTATAAATTTAGCACTTTAAAACATGAATAAAGGAAACAATATACATAATTTAATAATCAATAAGTACATTTATGTAAACCATATATAATACTAAAACCTTTACTGAACTGTAATTCAATACTATGTGTAAATATTACAATACAGTATATAATATCTAGCAATCTATTCACGGGGCATCGATATCTCAAAATTAAAATTAAAAATGCTTCTTTACTTTTCCAAATATTTTAGTAAACTTTTGAGGAACGGGCCTTTTGAAGTGATAAACTCGGTGTGACTGAAGATATGGGCTAGTAAATGTAAATAGCCCTAAATAATTGTTGCGGACATCTCTCTCTGTAATCGGTCTATCCACAAATCCATTTAGATCATAATTTAATTCATTATGCCAAGAGATCAAATAAGAAGACCATTCTCTATGCTTTAGAATGTCCAGATTGTAACGATTATTATGGAGATGGGTCATTAACTGTTGCACCCACCTACGTCTGATCAGATTATTCACATATTTTATTAAACGATACCTTACTACTGGGTTGAGCTGCCTAAGCCATATCGAATATTCTGAATTGTCTTCTATCATCTGTGATTTAAAAACTAAAAATATTAATTTAATCATTTTGTAGAAACTAGATAACTGTATGCTATTATCTGTTCTTAATCGTATTTGGAGCCTGTTGATGAGTTCTCTGAGATTGTTCAGCGCAAATAAATGTTTATTCGGCAGATATACTTCTTCAGTGTGATGAAAAGTGTTAATTTTGTAATCTTTAACTTTAGGATTTTGTATATTTTCAGTATTATATGGTTCTGGGAGAGTATGTGTCTCTTGATTCATATGGATTGGCAATATATGAACTTGTTCATGATAAATATGGTTAGAGGGGAAATATGTCTGTTCTTTAACTAATTTGGTAGAAGAAATGTCTGGCCATTCCACATTTTCACTGTCAACGGGATCAGAGACTGTGTGTGGCTGTTCTTGGTGGATTTCAGAAGAAGGCACTTTAATCACTTCTTGATTGACGAGATCATAGAATGATTCTTCTTGAGGAATATTACCCAAGGAATTATATTTCTGGTGTCCTTTGTTATATGCAGGAAATACTTGAGTCTGTTCTGAATTAATATTTTCATTGTACGCATAATTGTTTCCTTTAAAGGTTTGTGTGGAAGATAAATCAGTACATTCTGTGTGAAAATCATTAAAAGGATCATGAGATGATTGTTTTTGAGGAATATTGCCACAGGGAACACATTTATGTTCACCTTTGATATGTGCAGAATGTACTTGAGTCTGTTCTGGATTAATATTTTCATTGTACGTATAAGGGTTTTTTTTAAACGTTTGTATTGAAGATAAATCCGTCCATTCTTTGTTTCTATCATTAAAAGGATCAAAGATTACGTGTGGCCGTTCCTGGGCGATATTAGCAGGAGTCACTTCGGCCACTCCTTGGTCAGCAAAGTTATATGACGACTCTTCTTGGGCGATATTGCTAGAAGGAGCTTTATTGATATGGGTTACGAGTACATCTGGATGATTGATATGAGTTACAAATATTTCTGGTTCTGGATAATTTTTTTCTCTGAATGTATCTATATTTTTCTTTAAGATTTGGGCAGAAGATAAACCTATCCATTTCATCTCTCCATTGTCAATAATACCAGAGACTGTGTGTGGTTTTCCTTGATGGATATCAGCAGAAAATACTTGGGCTCCATCTAAATTTAGAAAGGCATTTGTCTGTTTGTGATCAATATTTTTATTGAATGTGCCTACATTTTCTTGAACGGTTTGTTCTGCAGATAAATTAATCCGTCCCATGTTTCTATTTCTTATAGGATCAGAGTCAGCGTGTTGCTGTTCTTGCAGGTCTTCGTGATTATTATGGTCGTAGGGTTTTTCATCGATATCAGCAGTGAGTGCAGGTTTAAGTTCCCCATTAATACTAACAGGGATATCTCTCTGTTCTTGATCAAATTGATCATTTGGTATAAAGATCTGCTCTTCGTTTAGTAGATCAGGTTTTGCACTATTATTCTGCTTTTGAATAGTAAGGTCAGAGGGAAAGTTTATTTGTCCTTGATTAATATTGTCAACGGATAAACGTGTCTGTACATTGTCAATATAGTCATGTATGTTGTTTACATGTTGTTCATTTTGAGGTAAGTATTCTTCCTCATCATCATCATCATCATCATCAACAGCCTTTACTAGTCCACTGCTAGACATATACCTCTCCTTAGAAAGGAGGTTTCTATGGAGAGGTTCTTCCTCATATCCTTCGTATAAATCAGTCCATTTACTTTCATGTGAACCAGCTTTTAATTTATTCCTCATTGTATCGGAAAATTGTCCACTTAGATTTGAATCAAAATAAGTTTTACTGTCACTAGTATGTTGTAAAGGTATTTGTGTCCCTGAAGTGTAATCGATTTCCGATTGGATATAATCGTCTATGTCAGATGAACCAGGTGCTAATGTTTCAGAATTTTCAGTAAATAGTGACAGATCGTGTAAAATATTATCTTGTTCATGCGAAGATTCTGGACCTTGTGATGATATGTACGTCTCTATGTTAGATAGGTCTTTTTCGGCTTCCTCTTCTGACTCTTGAGAGTGCTCATTAATGTTTTCGTTTATATTAACGTATTTCTCACTACCGTGAAATTCTCCATCTGTAGGTATTAAATCATTGGTTACTTCCGTTTCCATTGATGTTGCACCTGAAATTCCATATTTAAATTTTTACAATGAAAAAAGCTAAATTTGGTGGGAGCAAAATTTAAAGATAAGACACGTCAACTAAGGGCCGGATTAAGACCTTAAATAAATGTAGTACGTGATAAGAAGTTCAACAGGTCATCTAGTCATTTATAACTAAAAGTAAGAAAATTCAACCTTTATGTGATAGTCGTGTTTCCTGAGTTTCATCTTCGTATAATTTCTCTTTTCCATCTTCTAATGCCTGTAAAACGATAATAAATCTCAAAAATATCATTATTTTAATACAATCTTAAACATTATCAAATACGTGAGTCGTTCGACGGATAGAAAAGCTGACATTGCTCTAACGGCGGTTTCAATAGGCAATTAATTCCTCACCCTATATACAGCAGTGAACGTACAATAGTTAAGACATCATCATTGTTATTAGATCATAACTGCCTTTTGGAACAAAGTTCCTTATCGCGCGTTGTGAAAGGGGGCTAGACGGAAAAAAATCTCACGAAAAGTTGTAACGACACTTTTTATTTTGAATTGTCACTTGTCAGTCATTCAGCGCCATCTATCGAATAGATAGGAAATCATTACTTTTCATCTCAGTAAAATTAAAATTTATGTTCTTAGGTTGAGCAAAAAATATTGTATTCGCATCATTTCTCAAGGAGATTTTACCAATGTATAAATTATTTTAATTAGAAACCAACTGAAAAATATGTAATTAAAATCGTGTCGAATCGGTTTTACTCGATCGTCACAACTTCGTTCCTATCGGGTGTCCCACGACACCATACAGTTTTTTTATGGTATAATGGGCCACCGTATAGTAAGTGTTCGAGGCCTTGGATAGGCTACCGGTAAAATTACTCAGTCAGTGAAATGCAACGAAAGACTGCTTAACGGCGATTTCCTGTGCGGTCGAGGTAACACTTCGGTCGAGCCAGCTACAATTACCCGTTACTCACATACATGGTCAAATGCTCTACCGATATATTACCAATAGATTGACAATAGATTGGAATTTTTATCTATTGCAGTTGTTATGTGCAAACATAGGATCACTTACAATTCTTGATGTCTCGCCACTTTCTTCGCCTCGCCATCGAAGAGTTGCCTCTTGCTCAGTATGTTTTTCTTGTGATTTTTTATTTCTTACGGTATATGGAGATACCATTTTCGCTTTACTGTAAAGTATTATTGGTTTCCCAATACTTATTCTTTGGTAATTGACACGGTTATCGGCAGCAGGTAAATATTTTTCCTGATTTTGGTGAGATTGTACGAAAATTCTAGTTGCATTTTCTTTACGACCTTTTTTAGGTTTTTTCGAATGTTTAGAAGTTCTTAATTTTCTTTTTATATAAACTCTGTATCTATCAGCGCCATTATTCTTTGTTCCAGGATCTTGGTTTATTGGCTCCTTAATTTTTAGTTCTCTAAGCAATTTGGACATGTCTTCTATGCCGTTTAAAGGTTTTAAGTTGTTAGGGCCGGTTGAATTAAACTTTCGGTTAATATAATACCTAGATGTTGAGGCATTTGTACCATTACCTTTGATCACACTTACTTCAACTGCGGCGGTTGTCAATGCATGCATGGTGTTCTGTAAAATCACAATTTTAAATAAATATATCATATGATCCTTTTGGTGACGGATTAAGAATACGGAGTGTCACCACCCCTATTCTTCATCATAAGCGCCGACTAAAGGAGCAAACTACGCATTACAGCAGTACTGCAAAGAGAAGAAAAACTAACGCAAACCCTATACCAACCTGTCTGGCCAGCGTGGTATATTAGACCAAAACGTCCTTTCTAGGGAGAAGCCTAGGTGTAGCAGTGGACAATATAAGGCTGTCGATGAAATACAATATTTTTTGTGTCTATTTATTATAGCTTTAAGCAATTGTCTCATATTTTCAACTCACCAAAAACGCCAACAGCTGAATAATACAGATATTCCTGATTTGAAAGTTCATATTTGTAAAACATTGAATAACACAATATTTATTCAGTACTAAAGCTGCATGCAAGCTGCGATGGCCCACTTTAAACTAACGCTAATTTCTATTTAAATAGCAATTTTATCAGCGTTTAACATTATCGAAAATATCGAGATCTGAAGCGTGTTAAACACAATTACATGGCTTATTTAATGTGAACAAGAGATTTAACAATACCATTAGATATATTTGTATACTTAGGGCCCTAACGCAGAAAGGAATAAGCGTATTTTTCTGAGCATTTTAACTCCAAACTGATGAATTTAATAATATTGTACTCTTTTATCACCCATGTTTCTTTACCTATTACAACAACATAACCAATTACCTCTTTTTAGCTTTGCTCGCTTGATTATTTTGTATTTCTAACTATAAAAACGAACTTCCATACAACCGTTCATGCCTTATTTTAACCCCTTAAGAGTAAAATGTGTAAAAAAATCTTCCTTAGTGGAGTGATTACAACACAACAAGCGAAAGCTGCCAACATTTTAAGTTTGCAGGACCAGCGGTTAGCCTCTGCGAGTATAGATTGTACATCATATTGGCTAATAAGTTAAAACTCTCTGTCTATCAGCCGGATACATACTTATACTTAAGAAAAAGACGGGTCACAGTGGCGTGTGATAACTTTTGCCCACTCAAGTGTGTTATAAAAATTATTTGTGGTTGCATTGCTGAGAAACGAGGAACAACACTAACGCAAAAATCGGTAGTGTCAAGATTAGAGCTCAAACGGTGCAGGATTATTTAATTTTTGAAATGTAGACAAACCAACTTAACATATATTTATATGTACAGACACCTGAGATGACAATTGTTCCACAGATTGGTCATTAACTTGAAATACTATTGATTTGTAATGTACTGAACAGGTGTACAATAATGATTATTCTATTCTATTGGTTATAAGAGGTAAAACGATTCTTAAAAAGTATAGTGGCGGAGTGTTAATTTTCAACATTTTCAAAGGAAATTTTGTCACGTAGTGGCAATATGATTTTTATTGTCCATGTGGTGATGGATTTAGAATACGCAGGGTCACCACCCTAATCGTCCCGTAGGTGTCGTAAGAGCCGACTAAGGGTGCAAACTACGCAGGACCACAGCACTGCAAAGAGAAGGAAAACTTTAAACAAACCCTATAGCAACCCGTCTGGTCAGCGTGGTATAGTAGGCCAAAACCTCCTTTCTAAGGAGAGGCTTATGACCATCAGTCACCTATGAAAAGCTGTTGATGATGATGATCATTTTTATTTTGTGGCATAGCGAGCAAATGAGCAGACGGGACAGCTGACGGTAAGTGACTATCACCGTCGCTGGACATCTGAGGACAACTCAAGGCAAACACTGCCTTAGGTTGTCCCTCCACATTCGTTTCCTAACCTCCTATAGAATTACTTATCGCTGGTACTATTTTGCCGGCCCATTTCTGCCGAAGTACGACTTTCCCCTTTTAGGTAGTAGAATCCTTTTACGTTATCAAGAGTTACTTGGTATAGGTATTAGAGGTAGAAACGCGTGTATTGATTGGTCACAGTGTAAACACACCATTAAACCCCCTATTTATTCGATAAATTGGTAGATACGCTGCAGGCCAAGGCGTGAGACTTCTTAACAAGTATGAAACACAATTGATTGGCTCTGTAACGATGTTTGCGTGACGAATAAAGTAAAATTATTAATGTACATGCGATTTCGTTAAATTGGTAAACAAGAATGACTTCTTGCAAATTAAATTTTGCAATTGACCATCCATTAAATATCATCATCATCATCATCATCAACAGCCTTTAATAGTCCACTGCTGGACATAGGCTTCTCCTTAGAAAGGGGGCTTTGGTGTACTACACCACGCTGGCCCGACGGGTTGGTTTAGGATTTGTGTCAAGTTTTCCTTCTCTCTGCAGTGCTGTTTTTCTGCATAGTTTTCTCCCTTAGTCAGCTCTTACGACACCCACGGGATGAATAGGGGTGGTAACACTCTGTATTCTTAATCCGTCACCACACGGATTTTCACCATTAAATATGTTACACGAATTTCTGATTGACCTACCTTCTCGTATATATTTAGCAGGTGGACACCTTTTTGACCTCTTCTTTTTTCATCCCATCAGAGTTTGCTGTATGGCGGTGTGTAATAACCAACCTAAGTAAAGCCACACGGTGTGCAATACTGTACTTTAAATTAATGTTGTTTAATATATTCTAATAATGTTATTTGTATTAATATGTTTAATATGCTCACAATTTTAATATCGAATGGTAACTTATGATGAAGTTGTGCTCCTTTAAAACTTTTTTCTGGTATAATCCACATGATCTTAAATTTATTCATCATCATCAACAGCTTTTAACAGTCCACTGCTGGACATAGGCCTCTCCATGGAAAGGAGGTTTTGGTCTACTATACCACGCTGGCCAGACGGGTTGGTATAGGGTTTGTGTCAAGTTTTCCTTCTACCGCAGTGCTGTTGTTCTGCGTAGTTTTCTCCCTTAGTCGGCTCCACGGGATGAATAGGGGTGGTGACGCTATTTTACTATTAAAGATCGTAAACTTCTCGAAAAATATAAAAATAACCTGAGTGAATGAACAACTCTGTTGAAAATTATCTACACTCACAAATGCCTTGTGGACTTTTGAGTGCTATAAACTACTTCACATTAACTTCACACGTCTGATCCTAAACTAGGTAGAGCCTGTGCTATGGTAACCATACTAATGATAAACATACTTATATATTTCCAAATACATAAAAATATAGATAAATTGTATTTATTGAAGTTGTATTTATGTTCTTATATCGCGATACAGGCTTAGCAGTTACTACGTAGTTCGGTGCGTCTTCGTTAGATGGCGCTAAAGTATGTTTTCAAACAATTTTAATGAAAAGATAAATTTACTTATTCTTTTGTTAAACCATATTTTGAAGTAGTTCCGTCTACTCTCCGTAGATGGTATTGTATGGTTGATCACATTACAAAACAATACTTCTTTCTTTAAAGCGTTATTATATCCAGCCACCTAAAGGTCTTGTAATTGAATATTTGTTCAAAATTCAGTTATGATCTAGGTACTAACTCTCAATGTCACAAAAAAATGTTTTGTTTTTATAATTTCACACACGGCCGTCTGATCCCAAACTAGGCAGAGCCTTTTTTTTTTTTTTTTTTTTTAACGCGGGGAATGCTTTTCGCACCATACCCTCCGTTGGGGAAACGCAGGGCGTGTGTGGGACTCCCGGAGAACCGGTCTACCCACTAAACCCCGCGGCGGCCTACCTCGGCAGTCAGGAGGACCTCCAGGAACGCATCAGCGCCTTCTGGAGTCCTCCCTGCCGGACCCCATGTCTGAGGCACATCCCGGGGTGACTGTAGTCACCCTAGGGCGGGAGGCTGCCGCGCCTTTCACTACTCTATACAGTAGGAGGCGCAACAGCGCCCCGCCATGGACAAAACTCCCCGGCCGCACCGGAGTGTCGTCTGTCTCGGGTCGTTTGCAGCGGCCACATAGCCCCAAGATGTGGCCGCAGCGACCCTTAGGCGGCGATTGGGAAGCTAACGACCTCTGCCGCGTCCCCTTCGTCGCCTCCTTCGAGCGGGATCGGCCCTCTCCCGATCCCGCTCTGCGGCCTCCTTCTGGAGCATAACGTCCTCGCAGAAAGAGACCGCGGCTGCCCATCCCTCGCCACTAGCCAGCATTGCCGCGATCAATGCTGGCGGTGACAGGTTTCGTCCGATCTGTCCGACCAAGACTTGACGTTCGGACTCCCACGCAGGGCAGTCCTCCAGCGTGTGCTGGGCGGAGTCCCGGTCGGACCCGCAATGGTGGCATTGTGCCGTGCCCGGTGAGCACCTGAGTCAATCGGTAGGTGACACAGTCGTTCCTCCCTACCCACGCTTCGAAGCTCGGCAGAACGGCTCCGACTGCGCGTTGGCTAGCACAGCCCTGGATTTCGAGCCGTGCCTGCCAGGTCCGCAGAGCCTGCGTATGTGCGTTCCGCCTTAGCATTCCGGGATCATGATCTGGCGCGGCCCCTTCACCATTCCGACCGACAGAGCGAACTTGGTCATAGACCATCGCGTCCATGTCTGCCAGAATGTCGAAGGGTGGATATCGCGCCAGGACCGTTGCCGCCTCAAACGAGATCGTACGATAGCCCCGTACGATCCGTATGGCCATCAACCGCTGCAGGCTTCTAAGTAGAGCCCCGCAGCGGGAGGCACCCGCCAAGTCTTTAGCCCAGACGGGCGCCCCATAGAGGACCATGGATCGCACGACGCCCATGTAGAGACGGCGAACTTCTTCCCGTGGTCCCCCGAGATTGGGCAGCAGGCGATGCAGCGCACCCGCTACCCCGCGCACTCGGGGGACTAATCGCTCGAAATGCTCTTCGAAGCGCCATCGACTGTCCAGGATGAGGCCGAAGTACTTCATGTACCGGCCCACCTGGACTTCAGCGTCACCTACCCGGAGGCATGAGCTGGGTGGTTCCTGGCGCTTACGCAGGCCATGGAACCATATCGCCTCAGTTTTCTGAGGCGCCACTCTCAGACCCAGCTCATGAATCTTTCCCACGACACAAGCCACCCC